AAGACATTTTTATTCACGTGTGAATGAAGTAGCAATCTCATTGGTTACAATATTGATCACCATTAAAAGGATAGTTTTAGGAACCACTCTATAGGACAAATCTTTGTTTGTATTAATGGCTAGTGCCAAGCCACATATTAAATTCCAATCTAAAGTGTTGATTTCGCCATTGTGGCATAGTTATTACCAGACTTCGGTTTTAAATCCTTGATAAAGGAGGGAGTAATTGTTGCATGTTCAGACACCCGGGTTCCACACACTGCTAAAGAGTTTAACATTGTTTTTTAAGTAGACCAGAATTATAATGAGCTATGAAATGCAAAGCGACGCAGATCCTAGTAATGTTTTGACTCAAGATAATAGTTATTGTACAAAAGTTTCTGAAATAGATCATTAGACATTTTAATTAGTAGTGGTACTCGAAGGAAGTGAGTTTTGTACCAAGTTTCAGGAAAAGTGGGAGGCGGAAGTCCCAATGACAAGTGAGAATCATCTTGAAAATTATAGTTGAAATCGTGACATATTTTTGTAGACAAAGGATACTGGCCTATGCTGAAATGTCAAAGTCTCTGCAGAGCACGACACATGGCCAAAAAAGACGGAGACCAACTGACCTTTGACCCTGACCGACAGTGTAACTTGACAAGGCACTGTGGATGACTGACTCTGGGGTGAACCTGACCAAACTTGACATGACAACCAGACAGTGTGAGTGTGAATGTATGCCGGCATGTGATCAGTGTAACTGCATGATTCTAAAACAATAACTAACCAAGCATGTTTTTGGACTAACATATTATTTTGGAGCTCCAAGGGAAACGAGAGGTTTCCTAAAAATTCCACAAAAAGGGGAAACCGCACATGTGATATTTTCCTCTCACATGAGTTGGCGGTTTGCAAATGTAAAAGCTGAAGATTCTGTTTCTTTTAGGCCTGAAGGACGGAGAGGAACACTTCTTTTCACTGAAGTGTTCACTGTGGAAATAATGATAATAATGTTCGTTATGTTCCTAACCAATTACCTGACAGTTTTTGTTCCCCTCCCATTACAGGCTTTTGTTACACATGATTTCATGTGTAAAAAGGGGGGAGTGAGTAAGTATAATGTATAAATGTCAACATGGCTGTAAAATTCACAATTTAAATTTTTTAAGGATTGAGCATTGAATGTAATTAACCTGCTCCATATCTGGGGATAAGATACTGTTTGATGAATGTTGAGATGTTTCTAAATATTGATTTGAATTATAACAGGTAACAAAGAAGCAGTGGCCAAGGGGCTACTGTGAAACCGAAGAAGTTGACCTGTGATAGTGAAACAATTTTGTAATATTTTAACAGACATTAGAGCAACTGAGGTTTGAAATGTAGAAAGAACATATTACAGTTAAAGCTAAAACATAGTAGTGTATTGAGACAGAATTTAATTTAGACAACATCCTGTAACTGGCCTGGTAAAGAAGTAAGAGCCATATACTTTATTATTTAGGTCATTATGGGGATATACATTTAATCTAAATTTATAATAGAAAGACATTTGATGACAGTTTGTTGGAATTCTGTATTCATTTTTTCAGCGTGATAATATCTAAGCACTGACAGGTAAGAGCAGTATCACCAGGAAATCATTCACTTTGTTAGCATCGTGATTTTGGTTGTTTTTGAATCCATAACATTAGTGTGTTTCTTTACCAGAAACATTAGCAGTTCATATTATATTTGGATTTTAAATAGGATCTCAAGGATTTCATTTAAAAATAAACACAGATGCTTGTCAGAAATTCAGAGCTATTGAAATATGTTATTTAGTTTACCTAAAGATGTTGAGGTTCTTATTTAATTGGCACAATCCAAGTATTAAGATTCTGAAGCTGCACTGGCAGATAGGAGGTCTACAATTAATTTGGAAAACCTGTTCACAGACGGCTGTTGTTTCAAGACACCCCACCAACAGGCTCCAAGTGGGTCAAAACAGCTGAGCGTAGGCTTGAGGGAGTTGTATCAGATTTCTCCACACAGGTCACCGGCGCCAAAAGGGGGACCCGAGAAGCACGAGGACAAAGTGGCTCAACCCCAGGCTCTCCGACCCCGACCGAGTGACCCAGCGGACCTCTTATGCCGTCTGCCTGGGAGAAAAGGGGGACAGCTCGTACCACGGGAGCCAGTGTGCGGCGGGGAAACCACCTACTAGGACCAGGGGACGACATCAGGACGGACGTGGCCCTGGCAGACGTGGACTACTCGGAAGCAGCAGACTGGAGGAGCAGGACCCTGGAGACATCCTTACAGCAGACGACCCGGGAGGCATCATCAGCGGGCCGGAGAAGGAGGACCCTGGAGACATCTCTACAGCATCGACCCGGAAGCCGCCATCAGCGGGACGAGGAGGAGGAAGACATCTCTCTAGCAGGCAGCCCAGAAGCTGCTGTCAGCGGATTTGGGGAGACAAAGACACGGCAAGCCGGGACGGCGCAGCAGAGGAGTCTACTTTGCTCTGATCAGTTCTACCCGTGAAGGGAAAGCTGCATCTCCCCCTCCCTATTAGCTGTCCTTGTGGGCTATTCCTCGGGGGGGGGGGGGGCTGATGATTCTAGCACTCAGCTACCCCCTCATGGTTCCTTCACTGCCATGGAAAGTGGTGTTCGGTCTCCATGAAGGTTTCAAGTACTCTGAATACCAGCTTCGGATGGATTTACGGACACAGTAGAAAAGAATGACCGTGGGTATATTTCAAAATGCCTTGTCTAAGTTTATCTCTGGAGAAGGAGATAAAAAGGGGGATTTGTAGAGTTATATTTGTATTTATTCATGTTAGCAAACTATGGATAAGCTTAAAATGAGAATAATTTGGGTAAAACTGTGAGCTGCATTTGGGGCCTGTTGACATGTGTTTTTGAGGACAAAGGAAGATGGGGGAAGGTGAGAGCATGTCCTGATTTGCATTCAACTTAGATCTAGCTGCAGTGTTTGTGATATTAAGAGAGGTCTCTTGGGTTTCTCTGGTGGTTATCAATAGTAGCAGTTAAGTGAATACTGTTCAAACAATACCTGTGTTTGTGTTTTATATTGATTTCTCTGTTTTATCCTTTCATAAATGTAAGGACTACAAATGGCTATAAACATTCTGGGCTGGTTGGAGTAAACAGGGTTTTATGGCTCTGTGGGGGAGGTGTAGGTATGCAGGCCTTGAGACCTTTTGTTGTAAAGTGAGCCTGTTTGGTTTCCTGCTGCGTTGCGTCTCCCAATGAGATGACCTGAAAAGATGACCAGCTGACCTAACACCAAACCCCTCCTTCTTACTCTGGTATATCTCCGGTGGATCCCTGGCGTTCGGCCTCTTCTTCACATGCTGCCCTCGGGTGAAAGTAGCTCTGTAGTATGCGGACTGGAGCAGGAGTAAGCCGGCATTACTCCTTAAGCATTGCAATATAACTGTAATATATCATGTTGTATTGTAATGATTGTATTGCATTGTCATATTGCCATTAAAGTAGATTATTGTTAACGGTTACTTTGTAGCTATGGATTCCTTCCTGTATTATAACCAGCTTCATAGGAACGCGCGGAGATTTGAAAAGCGGACCAGTTATCCCTCCAAATCTCTAACAAAAGTCAACTATAATATTAGACAAATATGAAGACGTTAAACTTTAAACATCCATGACTTAAACACTTTATCCAGAATCAAAGCCACAGCTGCACCTGCAAGGTGAATACAGCTGGTAAAAGAAAAAGTGTTTGAATGCATACATTAACAGGTTTATGATATCACTGCCCCGTCTGTCTCAGACACGATCTGACTTTAATTACATTTGACTAAAGTGTTTCGTCAACTTAATGTGTTGCTTAAAATAATACTTCTGCATACAGTATGTGACACTGTAAGTGTTGCACGGCCATATACGGCTCAAGAAGCTGACTCAGATAAGGAAATATATGATATTATGATGAGATGAGGAGATCTAGCCCGCTAAAAAGAGAACCAGCGTCGTAGGACCGGAAACCCAGAGTTTTACCTGAAGTTAGCTCAGGTAAAAATCCGGCTTCGTCGTACAGGCCTCTAGAGTCTATGTTGAACCTCCACAATCAGCTCCTGTGTGTTGCTGCTGTGAGATGAAGGTTGTTATCCTGGCACCGAGTGTTACAGCCGCAGCCTTCTCTCCCCCACTAATGTCAGGGTTCGGACCTCCTCTCTGTACTCCGTCTCGTGTAGTTTGGCTCGTCTATTTTTTAAGGACTGATACCCATGTTGGCTAAAAACATGTTGGCTCAAAGTCTGAGGCTCCAAGTTCACTCCTGACCAGCACAGATTATAGTTTAGTTTAGCAACAACCTTATAACCAAGGCTGATGCTGCTGATATCACATAAATTCATCAGCCGGTGGAGTTTGCTGGAAAACAAAACTAATTTCTTTGCTGACAAAATAATTTCCATGACGCTTCAATCTTCTCCTGAACTAATCCTTTCAACAGGACATGATGATAAGCTCCGTTTCCGAGACAACGAGTCTGCACTGATAATGGTTTTATGGAGTCAACATATGGACAGTGGAGCCACCTGTGAACCATATGCAAACAATGTGTCGTCTTTCTGGAAACAAATATTGCCTCGGGTTAGAAACGAGAAACAAGAGCTGAAAGGAGAGCGCATTATTGACCAGCTGCAAGCATATATCTATCTACACATTATAATTAACCTTTTAAAATGTACTTTTACTGCCATTCAAACATTTTGGGATATGTCTCTAGAGTTTTGAATTCTTTAGACAATGCTTTTTATTGGAGCACCATGGAGGTTCAATACAGCTAAAACAATAATCCAAAATGTAAATTTTACAACACACTATTTATAAATACATTTGGCTAGTTGCACAACTCTTACCATCCGACCATAGATTGTGAGAACAACAAACCACACAGTTCTTCAAGGTTAAACATATTACAATATATTGTTTGATTAAGATCCTGTTAACGAAACCAGTTTATTCAGACGACAGTACCTGCTCCAGGTGATGTTTGCAGGTGGATTTGCTTCAGCCTCACATATAAAGGAGCCTTCAGAATTCTCAAGAATGGTCACTTCCATCGGTGGAACTGGAAGAAACAGGGAGAGAGAATAAGCGGTCATTGTTTTAACTTTAACGTACTAATTGCAGCTGAACCATTACACTGTTATCATGCTTTCTAAGGCACCTGATTTAAGGGATTTAAAAAACCTAAACCTCATGGATCTCTAAACTGCTGAATCCTCTTATCTACACTACTTTAGCTGCAGTGAGAGATTATTGTTGACTTTTCACAGAGAGGCTGCTGTGCAAATCAAGGTCAAGGTCATAGGCGGCGCGTGAGGCTCAGGTTTGGGAAGGCTACATAACTTTTTTTTTCATCTTACGCTGCCCGCCTCCGGCGTCTATAGAAAAGAGATCAACTCAGTGAAAGCACCACCTGCTAACCGATCAGAGCTCAGTGTGCGGAGTTTAAATATATCAAGTCATATTACAGGAAAAAGGAAATGCAGTTTAAACTGCCGTATGCAGAGAAGACGCCGACGTGTCGCACTTATCATTCATATCACACTGACATCACATCATCAATCAGATCATCGATATCACAATATTTCCTTATCTGAGTCAGCTTCTCGAGCCGTATCTGGCCGTGCAACACTTAGTTACATTGTCACATATACTGTATGCAGACGTATTATTTTAAGCAACACATTAAGTTGACGAAACACTCAACTCAAATGTAATAAAGTCAGATCCCCTCGTGTTTTAGATGGGGCAGTATCATAAAACTGTTGTACGCTTTCAAACACTCGGTAGTTTATTTTTTAACGAGTTGTTCTGTATTCTCCTTGCAGCAACTATGTGGCTTGTATCCTGGATTATATGTTTAAGTCATCATGGATGTTTAAAGTTCATATTTGTCTAATATTAGTTTACTTTTCATTAATGAAGTATGATGTTGCGCTGTCAGTACACTTGTCCCTGTTTGTGATTGGTCAAATGTAGCTAACCCCGCCCCTTTCACGTGAACGCGTTCTCAGCTGGAGAGAGAAACCCTGGCTTGATTTACCGAGTTGATAACCAGCGCCGTAGGACCGTTTAGCGAGATCTCGTTTGTTAGGGTTAGTTAAGATAACTCAAGCATATCCAGGGTCTGTTGAACTGGCTTCGTGGTACAGGGCACAGGTGGCTGCATAGCAGCGCTAATGTAAAAGACATTATATTTTTATTTTACCAGGATGCAGTTACACAAATATTTGGGAAGGCTTAGCCTTCCCTAGCCTACAGCACCCGCCGCCCCTGGTCAAGGTGATACATTCAACCCGGTATCACGGTGAGACGTGAACATGTGACGCTTTACCATTGCTGGGAGACGTGAAGATGTCACGGTTTCGTCTTTTCAAAACGTGAAAAGCGTGACAGCTACACGGTATTGTTAACCCATGGAGAAATAACCGGAAATACCAAGCAAATGCTACCCCGACGTAATGATTTATTTTTTAATAGTCACACTCGATTACAGCGATGTTCTTGTTGCGCCAGCTGGTCGACATCTCTTTTAGCATAAACAAAGGCTACATTAATGTATTAAATCGATGTTAATCCATGCGTGTGGATGTGGAATTAACGGACGTGACGTTGTGTGATTGAGTTGCCAAGCAACAGCTTCGGTTCATGTTAATTTACAAACTATTCAACTACAACCGTAGTTATATTTAAAAACATGTTAGAAGGCCTCACGAAATACTTTAATGCACATTAAAATGTAAATGTGAAGGAATGTGTGTATAACAAAATACATCGGTCATTAAACGAAACCGGAAACAGACGTAGGCAAGATCCTCAGCTCGATGATTGGATGGTTATCCGTAATGCATGCTGGGATTTGGTGTTTATGTGATGTGAAATCTGAAAACGTTTTTTAAAAATACAATAATACTTTATTCCGAGTGTGCTTGCTTTACTCTTTGAAAGTCATCACATAACGGCATTGTAATACACGGTTCGGCTGCATTAAATATTACATAACTGCCGTAGTTCTCTATTTATAGAGCCCTGCTGAGAAGACTTCTGGACAAACAGGAGAACTGCCGCCAAAACTGAACACGTGACGTTGATCATAAATATATAAGCAATTATACAACATCTTACATTTCTTTTCACACAATGCGTCTCCTTGCAGTATCAACACTAATTCGGCTGACTTTTATATTTGATCCAATTGGTAGATAGTAGGGGTGTAACGGTTCACAAACATTTCGGTTCGGTACATACCTCGGTTTTTTGGTCACGGTTCGGTTCGGTACGTTTTCGGTACAGCAGAATTTTTTTTCACAAAACAAAACATATATATATTTTTTTTTATTATTATTATTAAACTGTGAATAATGTATTCACTCAAATAAATACAAAATATAATAAAATAAACATTAAGGTGCAGCATTTCGATGAACTGAAATAATCTGTATTTGAACTTTACTGTACTAGTACTCACAAAACATAAACTATTAGTTTTGGGTTTTTAATTATTATTAAACTGTGAATATTCACTCAAATAAATACAAAATATAATAAAATGAACATTAAGGTGCAGCATTTCGATGAACTGAAATAATCTGTATTTGAACTGTACTGTACTAGCACCTAAGCAGCCAGTTTGACATTAGGACTTGCTTGTCATTGTATTTTCATGTTTTTTTAAATAAAAATTATCTTGTCCACATTACTTGCCGAAAGGGCAGATCTGCTGGCACTAACAATGTCTCCTGCTGTGGAGAAAACCCTCTCGCTAGGGACAGAGGGAGCAGATACAGCCAGGTAGCGCTTTGCTAACATGGCAACATAAGGATATTTGGCGTTTGTAATAGCTTTGGCTCGGTCTGAACTTTTTGTGAGTGGTGGAGGCTTAAATGCTATTGGGAGTTGGGTTTGCACTTCAGTCTTTTTTCTTTTGGTACCGGTGATATTCACGTTCGGGTGATGCCTTTTCAAGAGTGTGCAAGTTTGATGTATTGCCAGCCGCGTAACCAATTTTAGTTGAACAATGCCGACAAACAGCTTTGGTTCGGTTCACCTGTCTTTGTCCGTCATCCTTGTACGTAACTGCGAAACCAAAATGTTCCCAAACCGGAGACTTCAATGATGCTGGATGATTTTCGAGCTCAACTTTATCTGCGTTCGCCATTAATTTTTGACAGTTCCTCAAATTACTGACTACATGTGAACGCATCCCTCTGACCAGCTCTCATAGTATGCCTCTCATCCAATGAAATGACTTGCTCGCTCTATGACGCGTTGAACCCAATGTGAGCAAATTACTCTGAATGCTGCGACGCAGCACCTGAGATTACTTCCAAAAAGTTATTCACGTTCTCAATTTTTTACGTTTAACGTTATATTCGTTCGGTACACTTCGGTACACACCTGTACCGAACCGAAGGGCCCGTACCGAATAATTTCGGTACGTGTACCATTACACCCCTAGTAGATAGGCTGTATTTAAACCATAACCGTGCAGAGCTGATAGAAAGGGACACCTGGTGGTCAAAGCACGTTATTGCATTTTATTATTAGATATTAATAGGATCTCTATAAAGTATATTCATTACTCGTTATTCTCTACTAATAGTTCATTAAAGGCTGTATATAATGACTAGTTTGAACATCCCTTTCAAGATTTCAAGATTTTATAAGCTAAGGTTTATTGACATATCATATTATACACAACTACTGTGTAGTTATGCAATGAATGAAAAACTTGGGTCGCAGGTTCCTCAACAGTGCATTACAAGACATCTATCAATATGTGTTTATACTCCACCATTAAACTGTCATTCTGCACATTTCTTATACTATCTACATACATCTTATAAGAGTATAATACATATGTATAATATCAGTTTAATAATAAACAAATAATAAACAAATAAGTGCTTAAACATAGTTAACATTGCAGGAAAGCAATATATTAGACGTTAAGTACTTTGTCAGGCTTAATATTTATCTGTAGATACAAATGTCACTGTGTGTGCTGTGTGCTCTGCATGTGTGACCATTAAAGAATCAGAATCAGAATACCTTTATTAGTTCCACAGAGGGGAAATGTGCAGCGTTACAGCAGGAAAGAGCCACAGACAGCTTAGTGTTGCATATCTTACATGCGTTAAAAAAGTACTAAGTTAGAATAAAATAAACAATATGCTAAAAAAGTACTAAGTTATAATATATTAAACAATATGCTAAAAAAAAGATAAAAAGTTACAACATTTTCAAAAATACAGATCAAAAACAAAACGGCATATATATTGATTTAGTGGCCAGGTATAAATTACACAGTTATTAATGGCACATATATATTGCACATATTGCACAAAGTTGGTTTGTATTTAGCAGCAAGGGGTGTTATAGTCTGTGTTGTGGTGTGTCTAGGAGGGTCTACAAGGGGCAGTGCTGGTTGTAAAGTCTGACCGCTGCAGGAAGGAAGGACCTGCGGTTTCAAGAGGGTTTCATCCCTCCATATTCTTCTTAAAGCTTTTTTCTTATTCAAAATAAGACCTTAACCTAAAGTACTCTTTAATGTTTAAATTAAGCCTTATTAGTTTGTCTGTTTTGCACATCCTCCTATTAATATCTAATAATAAAATAATACAATTCAATAACGTGCTTTGACCACCAGGTGTCCCTTTCTATCAGCTCTGCACGGTTATGGTGTAAATACAGCCTATCTACCAATTGGATCAAATATAAAAGTCAGCCGAATTAGTGTTGATACTGCAAGGAGACGTATTGTGTGAAAATAAATGTAAGATGTTGTATAATTGCTTATATATTTATGATCAACGTCACGTATTCAGTTTTGGCGGCAGTTCTCCTGTTTGTCCAGAAGTCTTCTCAGCAGGGCTCTATAAATAGAGAATTACGGCAGATATGTAATATTTAATGCAGCCGAACCGTGTATTACAATGCCGTTATGTGATGACTTTCAAAGAGAAAAGCAAGCACACTCGGAATAAAGTATTATTGTATTTTTTAAAAACGTTTTCAGATTTCACATCACATAAACACCAAATCCCAGCATGCATTGCGGAT